TCCATTTAGCCCTATTCTATCTTTCCACAAAAGCAATGACCATTACCAAGTCAAAAGGAAACTTTGGTCAAAGTTTTCAACAGCAGTTGAACAGAGTAAATGAAATACATTAGTTCTCAATCTTAAGCAATTCACTGAAGACCTACTTATAGAAATAATACTAAACATAATCTTAAAGAATATTAAAATAGTTTATTTGCATTTCTGGGTACTTTAAATATTAAGAATACAGTCCTATAGCCTAGTCTGACATTGTTATATATGTAAGTGCATCTGCATGTTTTCCTCAGCAGAAAATAAACCAGGCATTTCTAGTTTCTGTTTCAAGTAGCCTGGAATTAAGCAGCATTTATATTCTAAGGCACTGGAAACACTTCTCTATGGAGAACTACGTAATATTCCTGAAACACAGGAGAACTGCTTTCATCACTGAAATACAGGAGATACCTACCACACAACAGTCAGAACAGACATTAAATGAAATCAGACAGGCAAATAGCAACCAAAAAGCTTTACTCTTACTTCACAGACCTTAGGATCTACCCATAACAAATGAACCAGTGGCTGGTTTTTATCTGTGCTGAACAAAAAGTATTCAAACAGCCCAGTGCTTTGATATATCCTGGTCTTCTATTTCAACAGCAACCAAAAGAAAGAGTGCCATCTGCTGCATGAGGTACAGCTCAGCCAAATTCTGGTGTCAAACTAAGTTCACTTACCTGTGTGAGAAAGGGAAAACAAGCAGCAGCCTAGACCAAGATCCATTTTTTCTTCTCATTCACTCATTATAATACAATTGCATTTGGATTCCCAATGTGGATACAGCCATTATCCCTCTCCTCTTTCATTCCAATGTATAAATTTTCAATAAATTAGCTGACTTACACTAGGCTTGAATCCTTTCCATTAGTTTACTGATATAAACTCAATGTACCAGGTTTCTTTTACCCATTTGTTAAGAAATTATCTAACACTTACCAAGAAACAAGACGATCAACAAAACTATTATTGTAAGGAACATCTTGTTCCAAAACACTACCATTTTGCTCCATAGAGGAAACATAAAAATCTTCTGCCATCTGTAAAATAGAATTGTGTTATTCAAAAATAATTAAACACTAAAAGAAAAGCATTACAACCCCACAGAAGAGAGCCATGTTATTGGTAAGAGACTTGTAAAAGGTCTCTAAACAGTTGCTTTAATTGCAATATAATTTAGGTATATGTTAACTTTTCCAGTAACCTAACTTCTCTTTTTTTGTTGTTAATACTTGCAAATTTTTTGCATGATAGCAGGTACTCTGCAGATGTGTTTTATTTTAACTTATACTTTGACTAGCATTACTTTGTATGCAGTCCTGACTATAACAAGGGATAGGGTAAAGACTGTAAAACACTTTCCATTATTTTTATTTTTTATCCACTAATACCTCAATTAACTCTGAAATACAAAGACTGTTATTACATTCTAACTTGTAATGACAACAAAAAAGACAAGTCTTGTGTTCATATTTTGTTAAGGGTTAAAACCTCTTTCCTGAGCATACATTTGCTGGCTACAGAAACGACTTCTGGTGAGGCCAATGGTGATGTAGACTACTTTTTTAACAATAATTAGTTGTCTATTTGATATTACTGCATGAAGGCCTGTGGCAGAAGTCACACTTGCAGCACAACAAAAAGCATCTGATGTGCTCAAATGAACTGAAACAAACGACAAGAGATCACCTATTTGTCGTTCGCTGCACATTAGAATCAGAGCTAGTGCACAAATGAAATAATACCTAGTCATGCCATGGGGATGTAACACAGACATACCGTTCACCATCTCCTAATATAAGGTAAAATTTCCTTCTTTTGTTAAGACGATTTACACTTACCAGAGACTGTTAAAATCTGCCTTTTAACAGTGGTTTCCAACCTACTGAGAATTTAATTTAAATGAAACTGTAGCATCATGTCCTATAGCTCTTTCCAGCTCTCCACCAGAAAGAATTAAAATATTTTTGCATTGTCATGCAAAAACTTCATTTAAGTCTTCTAGTATAACCTGAATTCTTTATACAGCCACATTTATCAAATGAAAAGCTTACTTCGAACAAAGACTAACTCTTTAAACATACAATTTTCCAAGCTCCATACTGACCTTAATTTAAGAAGTAATTCTTTGAGGTATGACCTTAGATACAGTACACTGCCAAGTTATAATCAGGCTAAAAATATGGATCTCTCTACTGAAGATATCCCTGTGTTTTATTTTCACATTTATTTTTCCTCAACAAGAATCGACATTCACATTTACTAAAACTCCTCTCCCTTTTGGTGACAAAAGTCATAAATATGAAACTTCCATACTATAAGACTAGCTACCCTTTTAGATTAATTATACCTAGTAGAACAGATCTGATCTGTCTTTTTGTGTATTTGCATTTTTATACTGTCAATTTACTTGTTCCCTAGGAACCTATAAACTTGTTAGGAAATTTGAAAAAAAAAAACCAAACATTTAAAAACGTGCACACACAAGAGAGATAATCCATTTGAAGACTGACAACTGAGTAAATCAAAACTTCCAAGAACAGCAGTTTCCCACCTGTCAGTAACCATGCATGCCTCACTGCTGACAGAACCAGCTCCCAGGCTAACAAGATGTGTCAGGCAGAGCTGCTGGTCCCTGGCACTGTCACAACAGCTAAATCTAATTTTTAACTCCACAAGATGACTACAAGTTTTGTTAAGGTGTTAATTGCACATACCACATAAGGGATAAAGTGATTTCACTCTTTCAGAAACCACTGTTCAGAGGAATAGCTGAATGCTCCAAACAAAGCACACAAATCTATCCTTTCCATATAATTAAAAGCACTGTGTTTAATGTTTGAATAAATTATGGTAAAGCTGCACCTACACATTATGAGTTTGCTTTTCAGTCACAAACACTGGACTCTGTTTGCATCATAAGTGAAAATAAGTGGAAATATTTCAGTATTTCCAAAGTATTCTGCTTGTGACATCAGCATGCAGAAATTCTTTCAACTAGTTTCCTCACATAAGCCATTAGTAATCTGATGATTGTGACTCCCATAATACTCCTCTCCTCTTACATAGTTGCACTTTTGCTTAGAAAACAGTAAGAAATACAACAACTCAATAGCCTATGTTGAAATGCTGAAGTCCTTGCAAGCCAACTTGTAAAAAGCCAGAAGCTGAATTAGATTTCAGAACAGTTTCAATTTCTCAAGCTGAGGAAACATGCCTAATCATTGGTATCAGTGTGGAAGAACCAGTCGTTTTACAAGACTCCTCCACAGGTTTCAGTAGTTAAATCCAGATTTTCCACAATAACCCTTGCTCCTTAAGAGGACAGTAAAAACTACATCATTCTAAATACATCTAAAAATGCAGGAAACAAACATGCAACAGTTTTTACAGAACTCTGGTGAAACAGCTTTAAAGTTTTGTTCTGCTTCTTGTTTAGGGGGATTGTGGGTTCTTCTTTTAAGACTTCTTCGTTTGTGGGTTTGGTTCTTAAGAAGTCAGTTTCTCTGTCTGCTGCAGAGAATCTAGCTTTATTTCCTGTAGGGAAATAACATTACCAAATTTGAAGAGTGACTTACAGGAAACAAGATAATGCTGTAAGTCAGGTCTCTGCAAACAGTAAGGGTAATAAATTAATTTTGTTTCTTTCCCTTACTGCGTGCATTTATTTTACAAGAATTTATTATTTTCTTAATATTTGTGTTGTGTTCTAGAAGTAGTACTATTTTCTTAATCTATATATGAGTTTTACAGAGGCCTTTATTCCAGTGGTCCTGAACCTTCTGCTTCAAACTCCAGGTCTTTTTACACAAGTGATCACAAATTTCTTGCAGCCGTTACACTCTGCCACCTGCTTTGAATATCTGACGTCTTATCTGTTCACCACCCACAATACCTAGTGTACATCAAAACATAAAGTTGCACCTCACAAATCTGACAAACTGCTGAAAAACCCGCACTCTCTTCTCATATATTATTTCTGATGCCCTTCTCTGCGCTGCCTACCCCGCAGCTCTGGGAGAAGCCGTCCCACCTGCTGAAGCAAAGCAGGGAGCTGCTCTGGACACCCTGAGCGCTGCTCTCGGATGAATCAGCACTGCATAGAGAACGTAAGGCTCCTTAAAGAGGCTCGCGATTCCTGCAGCTCCTGATACTCGAGTCCCAAACAGCATTCCTTCGGCTTTGTTTACAACTAGTTTAGGATGCAGCAAAGTTCCGTGTTTATGAAACAGAGGCGTAAAATAAACCCAAACTGGTGAGAAGAGCAAGCTGCGTTGCTCAGCACACCTAAGTCCTCCTACCTCAGCGGAGAAATGAACGGCACGCAGAGCACGAGAATTATTCCTATTTCGCCATACAGGAAGGTAGCCACTGCCGTCCACTGGAAAGTCATGGTCCCGGCGGCCTGCGGAGGAACGGGCGGCTCGGACTTCCTCTCCCGATCGACACCCGGGATGGGGAGATGGGGAGATGGGGAGATGGGGAGATGGGGACCGGGCCAGCCGGGGCCGCGCCGGCCTGGCGGGCAGAGCGGCGGGCAGAGCCCCGCTGGGCGGCCGCGGGCCCCGGGCTCCTCCCGCCGCCTCCCGCCCCCCCGCGCTGCCCGCGCCCCCTGCGCGGCCCCGGGGCCGCCTCATTCTCGCTCCCTCCCGCCCGGCCTGCCTGCCTTCGAACCTCGTCAGCGCCGGCACCCGGCGGAGCTGATGGCGGCCAAGTGGCGGCAGCGGGGCCTCACTGGCCGGGGCTGCGGAAGCGCGGGCACAGGGCAGGGCGGGGAAACGCGGTGTCTGTACCGACACGGTGCCGCCTCCGCCCTGCCCGGGGGATGTGGGCCGGGACGGGGCCGAGTGACACGGCCGAGTGACACGGCGGGGGCGGCGCGGAGCTGCCGCCGTCCCGGCCGGGGAAGGGATGCGGAGGCCGGCCCGGGCCTCCCCCGCCGCAGCGGCCGCGCTCGGCCCGGCCCGGGCGCGCGTGCGGTGCCGCCTGCGGAGCGGGGCGCCGAGAGCGGCCGAGGGGCCGCACCTCTCTTGGGAAACGCGTGGAGAAGGGTTCAAGTGAGTATTTCTCCTATCTAGGGAATGGTTGAAGGCATTTAGGTGCGGAATCCTGCTGTGGTCATCCCACCGCTCCGTGACTCCAGCTTCATCGACTGGGGAGTTCAGCTCTGCTCTCCAACATATCATGAGTGTCTGAAGTTCAATTAAAATACTGCGTGTGTCCATCCATTCCCTCCTGCATGTGTTACACGACATTAATGTATTAAGACCCAGTAAATAGTTTTCTCAAGGAAAACAGGTCCAGTATTCGTAAAGACAGCACAAATAACAACCGAACAAGTGTCAAACAGGCCTGTTTGGGCCTCATGAATAAAAGAGTATTCCTTCAGAAAGCCTTGTTCTATTCTACTGTCCCGTTCAATGCTTTTTATCTGCAGACTAAGGCTCCAAGCACATTATTTCCATGCAACTCTCCTTTGCCCGTGCATAAGAAGGACATGCTCTGATCACTTTTTCCTTTTGATCCTCACAGATGCTGAGGTGCTGTCAGTGGAAGAGATTATCTTGTCTACCTGGGCATCACCAGCACTCTTTGATGCAACTACCTGCTTTGGGGAATTCTTTCCCAATTAAGTTCCATCAACATGAGACACATAAAATGCTGTGAATAGTAGTTCTTTGTTACTCTAATCCATTGAAAGTGACATGGGGTGGGAAGTTCTTGCATAAGCTGTTTTGAGCAGAGCTGTTTGCAGCTGCTCACAATCTGAAATTGTTTACTTAAAATTTCCCAGGTCTGCAGCCTGGGGATGCAGAGCCAGTGTGTCAATGTTTTTCCAGTTGCTGCCATGTCTGGATGAAAGCAATGTCTGGACGAAAGGTTACATCCCAAATAATTGTTTATGCACAACAAATACTGGAGAGAGATATAAGGAGTCATTTCAATCCAATCTACACAGTAGAAATAGCCCCAGTTAAAGTAATATTTCCAACACATTTTCATAAACATATTTAATCAGCACTATAAACAAAACACCGCTTAGAATGTCCTGGTTATTACATTTTAGCTATTGGCCTACAGCAACTATACTTCACTGAAGCCGCTAAAACGTGAATGAAGACTTTCCTTTAATTACAGAGCAGTTTCCATTTCTGAGCTGCTTACTCACCTCTTTCTAGCAGTGTAAGCTGCTCTCCCACTAGCATAACCTCATACTGATAGGACTGTATTAATTTGTCCCTGATGCCAGAGACTTGGAGTCACTTTTTCACTTTAGGGGCTCCATAAGGTCTCAGAAAAGCCCACTGTGAGTGTGATCACTATGCACTTCCTCTGCAGCTGATGCATGTTCCCCACCAACCCGAAATGACATCTGAAGAAAAAGAGACATCTCCTGCAAACATCTGTGAGAGCTCTCTTCTCCTGTTGAGTACACTCTGCTGCTCCTGGAAGGAAGTCTAACTGAAGCTGGAGAAGTCTGGGTTGTTGATCTAAGGCCATCTCTCATGTACTGAACCACCATATGATGAATATGATGCCATACTATACGCACACACACACACACATATAAAATGGCTGGCTGCTTTAGTGAAAAAAATTCACAAACCTTCAAGCATTACAGTTAAAAGAAATACCTTCCTCTTCCATCAGGAAGGTGACAAAATATTCAGAAACAGAAATAGGAAATACCTGTATATTAACAGCTGGTTAAAGGAGTGAAATCAACTAATTCTCTTTTGAAACAAAAGAAAGTTTAAACTTGTGTTCTATTTTGGCTTCTGTGACAGCCTTATCATCACACACTGCTTTTGCCCAACCACAAACCCAACAGACCTAAGAAATTTAACAACAGGCAATAGAGAAAATGGAATTGTATAGGCTGTGTGAGAGTGCTGGGGTTCCTGTAGCAAGATAAAAGTTGCAAAAGCGTAGAGGTATTATGAAAATATGGTATTGTTGTGCAGGGTGCTTTAACATAAAGAAAAGGATCAATTACAGGAGGCAAAGAACCTAAAATAGGAAACAATGCTTTGTATCTTATGTTACTTGCTTTGTACTTATGTCACAACATTTAAAAACCAGAAAATAGAAGGACTGATCATCTGGTGATGCTGAAAGTAACATATACAGGGGAAGGACTACATCCAGTGATTTTAAACAGGAAATTAGTATTTTTCCATATTCAAATGTCTTAAAATGAGAATGACCATATTCTTAATGACCATATTCTAAAAATAACACTGGTAGGTGAATAAGCCTCATCCATAGCAATTTATGCATATTGGAACAGTATAGTGTTCAAAGTATGGCTTAAAGACTCCAACTTTGCAGTTTATTCTATGGAAACACAGATGAAGTATGTTCAGATGCATACAAAATTCAGAATGGAAGGTGAACAATTGATTTCACCCTTGAAAAGGGATTATGAACTTCCATTGATTTCTACGATACATAAAACGCCAGATCAAGCACTCCATAATTGCTACCAATATTAGCAGCAACATAGGTCTTGTATTTCAGGCAGAAACCTCTGTGATTAATCTCACACAGGCACAACAACTGGTGTCTTCAAAATCATTAAGTACTCAGTTCCTAAACAGGTCAAGGTATTTCCAGTCCTCTAAAATTTAATTTTCCCACTACTACAGAAAAAATAAAGAAAGCCTTTGTGTTGGTTATATATAATAAAATTCTTCTCGGCTTCTTGAGGCTAACGGGAGTTTGCTACATATAATAGTTGCTAGCGAAATCATAAACTCTTAAGAAAATGGCAACAAAGGGCTTAGTTAATACTTTCACAAATCCTTTTCTTCTACAATAGTTTTACTTCAGAGGAGGCTGGAGGCATTTCACAACTGAGAAGAACAGTGTTGCAACATAAGTGGATGAACTTGATATTGGAAATTTGCCAGTACAAAATACCTAGTCATGCAGTTGGGAAGTAAGAACCTTTGCTCTAAAACTGGGAGCTCATAATTTACATGATAAATATTTGTTAAGGAAAATTGAAGCGTTAGAAGTAGTATTAACTGCAGAAGACACTCCTGGGAATTTACCTGGAATGCTATACAGAGCTGTGCCCAACTAATGTCAAGAAAACATTACAGTCCAGAAGAGTGAAAAATAGTTGTCTGAAGGGAGACACACCAAAAGTGGTTGCAGAGGTTGTGTCAATTAGCCCAGGATAGCAAAGCATGGCTGTAGTTTTCCATTTGTTAGCACATCGGGAAGGTGCTCACATCAGAAGAGTTACATAACTTTGCTGCCTTAAATAGTGAACTGGACTTGATGACTTGGGCATGCCTTTCAAACTTTTATTTATATGCCTAAATCAAGCATATTCATGATGAAAAATAATCAAGTATTTTATACTATTGCATTAAAATGGTGATAATTTAAGATACCTGAACTATGACAAGATTTGGAGAGTAGCAGCAAAAGCAAGTTCCCTACTCCAGATTGCTGTATAATAAAAAAAAATTACAACTGCATACAAAACCAAGTAATTTTATTTAGAAAATTTGCAACTATTCACATGTATATTCACAGAACAATCACAGTCAGAAAACTCGGCAATTTTTGGTATGAATTTCTGTGTAAACATATAAAGAAAAAGATTTGATTACAAATAATTGTACTGTACAGTTTTGTGAAATTTCCCTTGCAGAACAAATGTAGCTGGTGTGTAATGTTATTATCTTGTTCTAATTTTCACTATTTCACTCCTATTAATGATTCAAAGAGAAGTGGCTGTCATGCTTTGATAAGCAACACGCCAGCAGGCAGAAAGGACTGCAAAAGCCCCACTGAGAGAATCTGTCAGCTTTTCTTTGACCTAAAAAATTCAGGTTTGGTAGATGATAGGGATTTAATCTTGTATACAATTATTCTATGGTAGATAAACCAAACTGAATTTAGTTAGATTGAACTTAAAAGTCCTGTTCTTTAGATTCAGCTAAGTTTGTACTTATCCTCATTTTCCTTTTTTCTTCTTTCCCTCTTAATTTTCCTTCTTCCTTCTGTCCATAATTGTTTATCTATTCTGTGTTTCTTTTCTTATGAGAGGTATGGAATTTTTCTAAGTTATAAATAAGTTACAAAGATTTAGGCTGCAAAAGAAACATGAAATTTAAAAAAGGATAATGTGATGGACTTCAAGCTTATGTTATCTACAGCAAAAATGTCTAAAATTGTTCCTTTTGTATTCTTTTGGTCTGAAATTACTGTCATTATAAGTAGTCCTGATTTTAGGAGGTTTAATGTAAGAAAGGCCCTAGTTTTGCAATCATATTGCTGTAAGCAATTATCTGATGAAAAATTATAATGCTGGGGCCTTACAATAATCGATCCTCTCTATAGTAGTGGATTGTAAATAGAATTCCACATTTCTAGAATCTTGAATATTCTCTAGAGTGAAGAATAGAGACGTAAAAATATAAAGCATCATCCAAATGATAATGTTTTGCTGTGGTGAAAATACTTACACAATATACAAATGTGACTAAAAAGTAAAAACCCAATTAAAACTTTTACAGTTTATCAACAAGTTTACATAGGACTAACATACATACTTTACCCCAAACCATAGTGGTCATTCAGATAATCTAGTACTGCTGAGGTACTTGATAAAACATTAAAAACTCTTTTTTCTTGTTTTGAAGTTATGCGCTCCATCATGTACATTAAGTGGTGGTGAAAACACGTAAAAGGAGTTCCATGCTCAAGAGCAATGTCAACCCAGTCCTGGATGCACTGAAAAGGTGTCTCTTCATATCCTGCAAACATAGCTGGATTTGCCAAGAGTCCTCTAGCCACCATTACACCTTCAAATCAGAAATTAAAGCATAGGTTACATTCTAGTTTGAATTTTATGCATAATCTTCCTGTAGGTTTTGTGCAACATCCCTTAGGACACCCACCCAAAGCTTACAGATAGTAATGGGAGAACAATGGGGATGAGTGTTACAGCTGTATCAGAGAAATCCATTGAACAAGGCAAACCTCAGAGTATCTACAACACCTATCAACATGTTCCAGAAATTTTGAAACTAAACAGAGGTCACAGAAGCATTTCTTCCCTTCTTTTGAAACTGCAACTAATTAGTACTTTGTTCTTATTAATTACACACATTTATTGCCTTTGTAACACAAAATTGGAAAGATGGAAAGACACAAGAGGACCAATAGTTTTCTGTGCAACTCAGTCTATTTATTCACTGTCATTCTTCCACTAAGAGCTCAATGGCTCAATTAAGTACATTTTAGGACTCTTGATCTGCAGTAAATCTTTCTGAACAAGCATGTAGTGTATTTGCAACTCTAATCTAATACTGTCAGAAAAACTCATACAAGTTTTATTGTAATTTTTATGTAATTAAGGGATTCTGTTTTTCTGTACTATCAAGATACAATCTATCACACTCCGTTTTTTTAAAAAATAAGATGATCAAAAATGAAAATTTTCTTTTGTCATTGTCCATGACAGAAAAAATTGAATGCTTAATATTTTTACTAGTGAAGAAGGTCAGGTGGACTATAAGAGCATTTTTTTTTGTGTTATGCATTTCCTTCCTGCTCTGTATTTGGGGGGAAAGTCACTGTAAGCAGCATGGCAGTTCAGTTCAATTTCTGTTGTAGCTATTAAACAGCAATAGTGTCAGCAGAAACCTGCC